ACATGGCTAAGCGATCGAAACTTGCATAGGAGAATAAATCGACGAAACTTGCAGAAAAACGGATGAGTGGATGTAATTAGGTATGTTTGAAAATCAATCTGCAAAGTATGGATTCGTAAGTTGTGCATTTAAAGTGATTAATAATAATAGTCTACCTTGAAGGTCGATTAGGGATCTATTAGGGTAGATAAACGTTGTATATTCACGATCGACGAAACAAACACCTATTTTTATTAGTAGGGCATTCCCTCCCGAAACTGCAACAGTGTTACGTTTTGTGTATGATAATATACATATGCGTATATATGTATATGTATTACACATGATATTTGCAAATAATATTCTGTTTGATATTATCGATTGTTGAACGTTGTTGTTTACTTTTTCTTCGAGGCACACTGTACTTTACTGTATCATAAAATACTTGTATCGCTCTAATAATTCTAATTGTATTATTGCAAATTTAATTACGATCGCTGTTGGGATTGTTTTTAAACGCGTTCGTTTCGTTGTCATCGACTGGTAAATGAGCAGTATCAACCACACGTTTCATCTTTTCATCCTTTCACCTTTCTACGTGATACCGTTTTTATTATCGTAATTATTCTATTACTGCTACTATTATTACCTCTATGATTATGATGATGATGATTATTATTATTATTATTATTATTATTATTATTATTATTATTATTATTATTATTATTATAATCATTATCATCATCATCATCATCATCATCATCATCATCATCATCTCCATCGTCACTGTCTTTATTTTTATCTTCGTAATCGCACCATCGTTATTGTCGTTATCATCGTCGTCGACGTGATCATCGATCGTTCGAAACAGAATTATATTTTATTCGTTGTCACTCCCTAAACCCGTCACGATACGCCAAACGTACTGACGGTATAGAGAAAATACACATAAGAAGATCGAAAAACGTTCGTTCGTTCGTTCTTGTGTATTATACGTAACGTTTTATCATCTACATTTATACAGTACGGAGCGAGATACAACTAGGATCACACACGTACTAGTTACAAGAATGATTACGGATGCGTAAAAGAAACTCTTCCACGGAGCGTCGTAAAAAATTTATGCTAAAATTATTTTTTGTATCGAGTTATAAGAGAAAAGTCGAGAACCAAATTCCCCGTTTAGCCTGTTTGTGGGAAATTTTAAATGGTGCTCGTTCGTGTACTTTCAATTGTAATTTCCCTTCCTTGTGACGCTTCGAGGAACGATCGCGAACAAATAATATATTTATAGTATGTTACGAATTTAATTTTTTCAGACGAGACTATAAGAGCGAGAGGCAATGATTTGCCTAGTTTTTAGCGTATCTATTAAACGACAAGAAAAAGTTATGAATAGTGTAAAAATACATCAATATTTATTGTACATAGATCTAAAAAAAGTACTAACAAATAAAAAGGAATCAAAAATACGGAGATTTGTGCGTATAGAATTTGAGCGAATCTGTTAGTTAAATGGGCTGACACGAAGCATTGAAAACTATCTTCGATCTTCGATCTTCGATACGATTAATTTCTTCTCAGTCTTCTCGGTCAGTTTCTCATTAATCCTCCGTCCGTATCTCGTTACCTTCTTCTACGTGAAGAATCGCAACGACAAGAATTAATTGCACCTCTTATACCTTGTACATACATATTGTTCATATAATTATAGAATGATAGAAACAGGAGCAGTTGAAGGGTTCGATGCGTTACCTTGGCCTTCGTTTTCTTCTCCTCTCTTCGCGTCTTTTTTTTTCGGCTTTTGCCAAATCAATGTACTTTTTCCTTTGATCCGGAGTCATCCTAGTCCATAATTTTCCGGCTGCTCGCGCGATTACGGTTACGTGCTCCTTCGGCTTCTTACTACGCAACCGTAAGAAAAAGATGATGAAGGGATTAGTGGTGCGATATTTGATCAATTCCCTTCCATTAACCTGCGACTCCGGACCGTTGACAACTTTCTTAGTCCTTCCGGGACGATCATCTACGCTACCCAAAATTAAAAAGTCGAAACCACGAGTTTATCAAGAGATGTATAGAAGAAATCGCGTACTTTCGTTTAAGAAAGAAAACGAACCTAACAAACCGGAAATTGTCTTACCCGTTGTCGCGTTCTTTCCGACATCGACTTTTCGATGATTCAGCGGATCCGGCGTTTCCCATATCGCCCCCACCCCCCTTAACTGCCCTCGGATACGAACCTTTAGCAAATTACCTTAACCTGCACCGTTTTACACATTACTTGATAATTTTGTCTTGAATTTTTTTTCTCGAAAACTGAAGTTGAAGCATGTCAACGAAAAAAGTATGCTTTCGTTGTTTCGCCAAGAAAAAGGGATAAACAAAAGAAGAATAAGGAAAAGTAGTATCTAACGAAGTACTTACGATTAGATAGATAGGTTTGTTGGGAAAAATGGTAAATTTTAATATTGTACTTAATTCTATTTTCTATATTACATTTTACATTTTATATCTTATAGTTTCGTATTTCAAATAGAAATATAAAACAATGAAAGTTTCAGATCATCGAGGCAAACGAGGATTACTTTTTCATAGCTCTCCACCCGCTTGAGCTGCTTTCTTCGGTTTCTTGTTCTTGTTCCATTTATCTCCGCAGTAACAAGCTTCTTTTTGAGCGTCCATATAACTTTTGCATCCTAAAGCCGTGGTACCGGTAAACAGCACTTTTGCGGCAGCTTTGCACGTGTTGATCACGGTGGACGATTGATACCCTTCGCAATATTTATATAAACATCTCTTAAATTCCAAGTCGCACTTTTCCTTATCCGAATTACAAGTATCGTAACAGATATCGTGCGCGTCGCAACATTTAGTCATTTCTGTAAGTGGCAAGTACTCTTGGTTTATCTGAAATGATCGTTGCTCGATTAATCTTTTCCACGCCGATTATGTAATGTTCACCGGACGAATATTTCGATTATTTTTCATTGAAATTGCCTACTTCGATTCCCAGGGAACCGCATCCGTTGCTCTGCGGTTTATGGTTCCAATCCGGTTTCGGTGGGATTCCTATAATTACAAGAAATTTCGCGCCATACGAACATAGGAAAGAACAACTAAAATATTAATACGTAAAACGGGGTAACAACCAATAGAGTTCTCTCAGCTATAAATACACGTTACATACTTGAATTGTAATTTTTCTTAAATCACGTCATTTTACCACGTGACTTGACAAAGTTCGCCTCGTCGCGGATACGATACGCGTTTACTCATCATGCTGTAAGTTTTACGTACGTGTCAGAAATTCCGGCCAATAGCACAATAGCACAATAGCAACTGTGGATCGACTTTAACGTGAAAGATAACGTATCGGAGATTCGATAAAAGCCTACCTCCTGGACACTGGAAGACGCAGGTTTCTTCCACGGCTGCGTCAAACACTTCGTGTATGTCTTTGATTTTTCTAGCCACGGTGATCGCGTTTTCGAAGAAATCTTGAAAAACCGACTCTGCCGCTAATACAGCATCTCTTAAATTCGATAATAAACCAGCGCCATAGCCAGACCACGCGTACGCTAGGAAAGTTAAAACGTAAATCAGGGCTTTCCGATACTGCGAAAAATCCATTCTGACACCTTCCTGATGCACTACTGATACACCGTTACATCGGCTTATGGATATTTTTAGGTAAATCGAGTCACATGTGTACGTAGGTAAACGTACATGATCGTGGCCACGTGGTAACGGACGACGAAATAATTTCTTGCTCTATACTTTCGTCATTATAACATATAGCGATACGTATATATGTATACTATCTGTAATACTACACGACTTGGACGTACGCGTATCCGTGTAATCCACGATCAGCTGTTTCATTTCTTTTGTATATTTTTCTTTTTCTTTTTCTTTTTTTTTAGAAATTTAAGTCATTCGATTTAACGAGTCATCGTGACATTGTTAGCTTGTGTTCGGTCTCAGAAATCCGAAAAATAAAACTTAAGGTTTTCCTTGTTGTACAAACAACCATCTTTATTAATTTAAAGAAAAATCTTGGACATACAAATTACTCTTACAATGTAAAATACGTGTAGGAGTAAAGAATTAAAGTTTCTTTTGCAGCTCTCCGCTCTCATATAATTTCTTTATATCTGTGCCACCTCCCAAACATACTCCTTTGACAAACACTCTAGGAACTGTTCTAGCACCCGTCATTACACCCAATATGCTTTGAATTTCATCCCCATCCTCTCTTTCGTCCAACTCGATGGCAGTATATTTCTTCTGCATGTTATCAAATACCTATAGAAATATCTGCATAAGCAACGTTGCACAAATTCTAAGATTACGTAGATCCGATAAGATTACTCTTTACCTGTTTGGCCATTTTACAATATGGACATTGTGTTTTAGAGAATATTACCACTGCATCTGAAGCGATTAGCTGTTCCACTTGCTCTTTTGATATCGACATAGTTGTGTTCTGTGCGCGCTAGAAACAAAACACAATGCTAGTTATCCGAAGAGAAGACTGTTAATTGTTGAAAGGAAAGTTGTCACGAAAGAGGTCTATCTTATGAGATTTCTCTATGTACACTGTTGTCACTGGCACTCATAAAATTAATTCGCTGGCTTTATCAATTATCATGAAATCAATCAGTTTCAAACCACGTCGCCCGTTTTCACCATTCTCCTTTCGCAAACTACAGTGCCGAAAACGCTAAACTTCCCTAGTCCTTAGGGAAAATCATGACATGGGGGAAAGTACTCCCACCATTCCTATCCTTTTACTTCCTTTCTTTCCATGCTTCCAGTTTCCACTTTGATATTACATCATTTCTGACGCTTTGTACGAAATTATGACAGACAAGAATGATACACGATAATTGTGCAAAAAAGTATGCACAGTATAATAGGTTCCGTAATGAAAGGGTCTTAGGAAATAAATAAACTTCGGAAAGAAATTAGAGGATGATTATTATACTGGTTGTGCCCTCTACGTACGGGTCTGATTTCATTTTGGGGTGTTAGAGACCGCGTAGCTAAAATTGTAATCTCTGTAACTTTTAGTCTCGCAACAGCGAGACCTTTGTAACGACGTATAAAGCGTATCTCTAACTCTAGTACTAGTTGTCAAGTTTATATATACATACATACATACGTTGAAAACTTTACCGACAGTTTCTAGAAAAATCCCTAGATGCGAGTTGGTGCTGCTACTTACTAGCAGCGCAAGTGGTACAACCTAGCGGATAAAGTGTAGACTGTTATGTACCAGTTTCAGGCGATATAACAGAAGAGAAGGGAATAGAATACCGACCGAACTGGATAAAATATACTTGAGAATTCGTCCAAGAAGAGGCGCTATTGTCGTGAACGTGGCGCGACACACGCTGCGTCAGTATTCCGCGAGCTTCCATCGCGTTCTGTCGAAGTTAGTCTCGGAAGAATCTCTCTTGTTCGATTGTAACTGCGAAGAAGAAGAAGAAGAAGAAGAAGAAGAAGAAGAAGAAAAAGTGCTTTTCCCATAAACCAAGAGGGTACGGATAAAAGGATGGCAGACGACAGCCATGAGAACGGCACCAGCAACGGCGACGTGCCCGAGATCGAGTTGATCATCAAGGTGAGTTTACCACGCGTGGAGCAAAGCCGAGGAAGAAGGAGAAAGAGATAGGAAAAAAGGCAATGGTTTCGTGCACGATATGGGCGTGGAACGAATCACTGAATTCTTCCTATACTTTCCTCTTCTCTTTCGATATTTCTACTTTTTTTCTTCTTCCATTCGGTGATTGCACGAGCATGGAAGCTCGAGACAAGAGTTTAACAGCGAGAACCGCTTGAAAAATAAAGTGACCATTAACCGTTCGTTCGTTCGTTCGTTAGTTAGTAACGTCCACTCGCGGTTCTTCAGCTGTCTTTGATTTTTCTTCACCCTCTTGTATCGATTGCACCGATCCATCAATCGGTCGAAACGTCGATGACAATACTCGTTGGACTTTGACTGGTGGAATATGGTGGCGGATAGCAGGCGTTACAAAGCTTTTCATATTTGTCGATGACTAATTGCAAGCACAACGGACATGAACGAATACACAGAACAGTTTTTTGCCACGAAACCGACGTAACGTTCGCGGAAGAATACGTGTCTCTATACTCTATGTATTTATATGTATACATAAGTAAGTAAGTACTTACGTACGCGAGATTTCTATATACGTCATTCACTTGCTTGGAAGAAACCCTTAACTCTTATCTCGTGATATGTTTTAAACGGTAATGTTTAATCTTTTTTGTCTTTTCCCGCGTAATTCGTGAAAAAATGTAGACATTAATTTAACATGATTAGAAAAGGTTCTAAATATAGTAATGACACGAATCGACATTTTCAATAGCATTCCAAAAATAGGATATTGTATTAGTTCGTTAGATGATAGATCTTTTCTTCTAATCGTCAACCTACAGATAATCGATTTAATCGAGAACGAACTCGATTCAGTTTCTCGAAACTACTCTCTTTTGCACTCGAGATTTTCTTGGAAACGTCTCCTTAGAAGGAAAGAGGCTTCTCTCGATTAAACTTTCGCCAATCGGACAAAACTCGATTCACCTGTATCGTATAAAAGCGGTAATCTTATCGTCTCTTCCATCGGTTTGTCGATCCAGAACGCGATGCGTAAGCACCTTTCTTTATTGTTGTATATATGTATGTACTCGTAATACGTAAGTATGTAGATAGATAAATAAATTGTATCGAGTTGTGTTTCGTCTACGATTGCTACGACCTACGAGCAATCACCAAGTAGATTTTCTAGCTAAGCTGGCCCACCAACAGCATTGTTTCAGGTTAACCATCGCCATAAATAAATCGTAAAAAGAGTAAAATCGTGCGATAGGAGAAGATGGATAATGGTTAATGGTAACTGGCCGACCTTGCACTCGCAAGCCGATCATGCGAGGTCTTGGCGTAAGTGTGTCAAACGGGATGAAACGATGGGCAACTCGACGAGAGAGGTCCTCCAGAGATTCTACCGTTAAACGATCAACTCCTTTGCCTTCCGCTTTCCTCGTTCCTCGTTCTCCTCTATTCTATTCTATTCTATTCTATTCTATTCTACTCTACTCTATTATATGATATGTATAATAAATAGAATTAAACATACGCGAACGTACACGAAGAGGAATTCATTCACACTGTCCGAAAGATTCATTGAATGACCGTGCGAAAGGACAGAAACATCACCGTGCTGGTGATGTCGTTTATAAATAGGAAAATACTCTAGAAACAAGATTATTCGAGGTTGCACGCGTGTTGAAGGTAAGAGAAATATCGCGTGACCGAGTGCGGTTATAAAAAATCGATCGGACGGTTAATCTTCCTTCCTTAAGGTCATTACGAGCCTGTTCCCGGTTACCATATTAGCCTTACCAAAATCATCCTCCAGCTGTTTTCTAGTTTTTTCAAAACTCTTCCTTTTTATTAACGCAGCCAGTCTTTTCTTGTATAGCTTACCACGTAGAAATCAGGATTTATGAAAATGCGAAAATGAAATAATTTACATAGTCAGACATAGTAGTGTAATATAGCATCGTCAGTGAAATTTTCACGATTTTGCAACAGTGAGAGAGAAAGGAAAAGCAAGAGGAGGTTGACATTTGATCCAGCATGATACTTTGTGACACGGATACCTTTGCTAATACACCATAATCAATTTTCTTTCGTAGTGAAAATTCTATTTTTCAAAATGGTCTGATTCTGAGTTGCTTGGCTGGTTATGGCCTTGGTTAAAAAGTTGTCGAGCTTGGTATAATAAGACACTGGAGGCTACTTATTTCTTGTGTGTATCATCGTTCTGAAAAGTTGGAGGTGAAACTAGCGTATTCCTTCCTTCCGAACAATTTCATTTTAGACATTGAAAATGACGACGACTCGACTCGGTGTTCGAGTAAAGGCGATTGTTGAAACCGAGTGAAAATAGAAACGCGACACGTTCTTGGTAGAAGATATTGGCACTTTGCCAAGAGTAGTATGTATACAGTTCACTCGTGATCGATCCGATACCACCGAATCCTTCTTATCAGCCTTTTCACTTAACGATATATTATATGTACCCAAGTAATAAAATTTGCAAGTATACATAGTATACTGGTATACTATCGAGTAAGAAAAAGAAAGCAGCGTGCATCACTACGAGGGGAATAAATAAACCGTGACACGGAGAAAATTAGATAGATACTTGTTTCTCTTGACAAACATTTGAAAATACAGGGACCAGAGGCTAGGGGGTTAATTAATAAGCTGGAAAATTATAATACGAGATGGTCTTTTATTTTTTGCAGGCTTCTACGATCGATGGTCGTCGGAAAGGTGCATGCCTCTTCTGCCAAGAATACTTTATGGATTTATATCTGTTGGCCGAATTGAAGACCATCTCGCTGAAGGTAACCACGGTGGACATGCAGAAACCGCCTCCAGATTTTCGTACAAACTTCCAAGCAACGCCACCACCGATATTAATCGACAACGGTGATGCGATATTGGAGAACGAGAAAATTGAACGGCACATCATGAAGAACATTCCTGGCGGGCACAATCTCTTCGTGCAGGACAAAGAAGTGGCTACCCTCGTTGAAAATTTATTCAGCGTATGTAATAACTGAAAGTTACAGTAAACAGTAAACTTAACTGATAAAATTATTATTTCTATTGCAGAAATTGAAACTACTGCTACTGAACGCAAAGGACAAGGATAAGGATCCAAAGTCTTCGTCGTTGATGGCACATTTGCGTAAAATCGACGAACACTTGGGTCGTAAGGGTACACGGTTCCTCACAGGTGACACAATGTGTTGTTTCGATTGTGAGTTGATGCCTCGACTGCAACATATCAGGGTTGCTGGCAAGTACTTTGCAGACTTTGAAATTCCCGAAACTTTGGTGCATCTCTGGCGATATATGCATCATATGTACAGGCTAGATGCCTTTTTGCAAAGTTGCCCAGCTGATCAGGACATTATCAATCACTACAAGTTGCAACAGGTATTTCAGAATTGTAGAAACTTCAATTTGATTTTCAATTAACGTCTACGTTCCTTTACAGAGCATGAAGATGAAGAAACACGAAGAATTAGAAACTCCAACGTTCACGACTAGTATCCCAATCGAGGTCAACGACGACTAGGCTGGACCTGTGCCGTCGGGTCTACGATCTCGTTACTTTCATTCAGAAAGATCGTCGATGTATCGGTGTGGTAAGCCCACAATCCACACGACGTCTAAACACGACGGCGCGGCGCAGCAAACCTTTTTGCTTATCTTCAAGAAGAATCCATTATTTATATAAAAGTATTTCGGAGTCGCTAAAATAGCGCTTCATTTCAATTTTCATCGATGCCACGTACACCGATTTATACAATATTTTTGCTACGTCTATTTCATAGATGATCGTCGATGCACTCTTTTATTGGCCTAAACTCATGCAGAACGAGTAGCTTTTTTACCGCAGGCGACAGAAGGATATACATATACGTATAAGTGTACTAAGGCTTCAAGAAAACGACTTGTATGCGTGTCCAGAAAACTCTATGGATCTTACCCTTTCCTTACGCTCCAACTTAACTTTTTCCTTTTTCTTCTCATTTTTTCTTTTTATCTTCGTTACGTATATATTTCGTACGTAATCTTCATTTGAGTAGCATTATTATTATTATTATTATTATTATTATTATTATTATCATTAGAGAACGCATTTTAATCTTTTACATATAGTTTAGATCAAAACCTTGTACTTTTCAAAAGAAACAGTTATCTGTTATCATTTAATGACAAACAACGTGATGAAATGGCAAATGCAAAAGGGACGTATGCATTTGAATGGCAATCGTTTTTCTTTTGAAAAATTACCATGTATTTATATCGTACATCTAAATACTAATCAATAAAGTAATTCACCGATGGTTATTTTTTATAAACCATTACATCTTTCCTTCGTTGCATCGACCTATGTAAAACAATAAATCAGTGAAAACATTCTAACTTTAGTCTATCGTGCCGTGAACAGTTTACATTGAGCAAATTCGAAAGGATTTTATTTTTAAACGTGATTTACGATAACGGAATTTCAATAAACGTTAGTGCATACGTTTCTTCGCTATAACATTTATTCCTCGTTAACCATTTCATTGAAAATTATTTACACAATTGATATCGCAAAGTGTGAAGAGAATCGAGTAAGTTATAGCATAATCATGAATTTCTCTGCAGATGCTGAACTAGATAAGATAAAACAACATTTATAATATCTTAAATAGAGAGAGTAACAAATTCGATGTTTCGTATTAGTAATTGTATTATTATTATTATTATTATTATTATATTATAAATGATTATTTCTATTATTGTATTCTATTTTGATTGATATTTTTAGTATTGAATATACCAGTATTTACATCGACCTTTATGTTTACAGGTGTTCTTGTTAATGCAACTTGTGCACATTTTCAAGTTATTATACAAGAAAGAAAAAACGAAAAGGAATATATCTATCTGATAGTTAAAGATGTTGCTTTTCATTCGTATGTTTTAAAATAGCACGCGGGTTCCCCTTCCACTTGACCACGGCTGACTGTTACGACATGTCTTCCATTCATAAATAGGGAAGCACTTGTGCGAGGGGCCATCTTGACTACGTACTACAATCAAGTATCTCTTTACTTTGATGTTTTTAACAATAAAATTTCATTTTAATTTGAAACTAGGTAAATATGAAATTGAAATAAAATTCTTCAAATTTATTCAAATATTATTGATGAATATTATTTCATTGAAAAATAAACAGTTTTTCTATTGACTTTGGTCGTTTCAGTACGCAGTGCACAGCTGATCAGTAGTGGTCTGAACGGACGGTCGCCGCTTGTTCGTGCTTTGAAATCTTGGATAACGAGCGAAAAGTTACTGTTATCCATATGACTGCGTGGTGCCAATTGGAATTTCCATCTTTAATACGTGGATAAAGTTGCGGCATTCACCAAGTGTCTGTATCAAGTGTCCAAAGTGAACGGTTGCTGTTGCTCGTTCGTTCGACATTTCCAATGGTTGCCGTCCGGTAAGTTTTAACGATACCATTTAAAAATCAATTACTCGTTAAAGTAACAACGTTGAAATCCGATTAAACTATTCAACGATTTTTCGATTATTCGTCAATTTGTAGATTTAATATTTTTGTTAATTAGCATATATGTATAGGAATAGGAGAGAGAGGAAGAAACAATATTTTGACTTTTAATTATGTTTGTTTCACGCAACACAGATATACATATTACATAGATATGGAATATAGTTAAATTCCTTGTTGATAATCAGCCGGTATTTGAAATATAAACAAGTTTTTCTATTCCGATCATCGATACCTGCAATTTCGAAACGGTCTTGTTTACCACAATGCCACGCTATGCTGATAACTAGTACGATATCTAGTTATAATAATTACAATTATAATTTTGGTATACAATCAAGAATAAGTTATTGTCGATAGTAAATACGATTTTTTCTTTTTTCGTTAACTGATACATACATCATGCATAATGTACTTAAATACATGTATACATAGTAGTACATATCTTACATATGCTTATCGCTCCGTTTAATCATCACGTTCTTTTTTTATTTACGTACTTACATATCAGTTGACCTGCCAAATAATTGAAGAAATCTTATAGATGATAAAAGATCGATAATGGTATCATATGAATTGTAACTACTTTAGTCAGTCGAACATATTATGTAGTGGAAAAATAAAAATAATAGAAACCTAGTTAGACGGTATAGCATCTGCCACGAGTTATGTAATCGTTAATCGTTAATCGTTATTCGATTCGCGATCAATTCATTATAAAATCGTTTTCAATATAAAATCGTTGCAAGTACGAAATGAAATTTTTTGGCACATGCTGAAAAGCGATTTAAAGGTCGATGATATTTATAATAACGTAAAAGAGCTGTTTCGAGAGTTTTACGAGGACACGTGAATTATCGCAATCGTAAAAAGTGTCCGGTGCAGTGTCCGTCAGTATGGTAAGCATATTCATACATATCATAAATACTAATAAATAGTGTTGCTCACGTCATAAACTGTTTCATTGTCAGTATTATTTCATTTGTTCGATTGAAATTTTTATAGTAAAGTAGGGAACAATTTGAATTTGATTGTCTCGCTGATTGGTTTCTTCTAACACAGAAGATGCCTATGTGATAGTAAACTCTGATGTTTTCTACGCGAAAAATGAAAATGAAAAAGAAAAAAGTATAACATTATTTTCAGGATAGTGTTTATTTTCGCCTCCAGACATAACTTATCGTAGCTCTGCTTAACGTTAGCGTTAGCATTAGTTCCTTATTTTTATCTGCTACTACTGAATTCGACGCATCGAGGTTCTTGGTGCAACAATTTTCTGTTCTTTCAGAATTTATTATAGAACAGTAAGAATTTCCAATTGTCAGCACTATTATCGTTCGATGGATGCGCAGTGTGTATCGTGAAGCAACAGGTGTCGAGCAAAATTTTCAACAGACTACAGACGGGTATTACCTCTGCGAGCTAAATTACCGTTTAATTTAATGAGCCGAATGTTTGTCTCATAGAAAGGGTAATAAAAGGTTTCAAACACCTACACTTCCTAGATTCTAGAGCTACCGGTTTTTCAACTAACGAGGTATATAATATTATAGAGAGCTAACAAGTTTTTAACCAATTAGAAAAATAAAAGGTCTTTCTTTCTTTCTTTTTTTTTCTTTTTTTTCTTTTTTTTTTTTTTTCAAACGGCAGACATTTAAAAAGGAACGTCGAAAATGATTCCAAATGCGTGAAAATACTTGTGGAATTTGCTTTTCCCCGCATTGCCTGGAGCAGACGAAAACAGCCACGCTGTGTCTCCTGGGTATTTCATGACACAAATATCTTGCCGGCATGTTGGAATTCAGCTTTTCCTTTTTCGCCTGTCCCGACGAACCACGCTCTCTTCTTCTTCTCTTAAAATCTCCCCTGTCACTACTGATGGAAACATCCTGCGCGTGTCCGTCTTTCTACCCCGATTAAAATCAGGTAACTGTGTAATCAGCGTAACGCAATTGCCAATACTCGTGGCATCAGAAATGTCGTTTTTCAACTCGTTCAGCTTGTTGGCTTAATAAGATTAGCTCGACAGAATACTTAAGTATGATAATATTGCATAATACAGGTATAACTAGTTTGAGGTTGCTTGAAACAGCTAGTGGCTTGATGATCGACGGAGAGAGAATTTCTTGAAAAAACACGAGTCAGATGAAAGTAAGAATTCCGTTTGGCAAAGGGAAGCGAATTCAACCGAGATTTAGAGAATTTGCAGCGGGTCGGTAGAAATTTGATTCGCTGTTACAAATTTCCGCATCGAATTTTCCTGCCCACACGTGGTTATTTACATTTTCATCATTTGCGTGTCGAAGAACCGCGCGATACGCTTTGGCAAACTGTGCAGAGAAAATTGTCAGACTTATAGAAGGTGTATTACTTAGATTTAGGTATCGAAGGTTTAGGGAGAGAATATCGATTTTGTTGGGATAGGAGGATCGCGTTAACCGTGTTGTTTCCTTTTGATTGATGTTTCGCTCACCTGCCACGTTGTGTTGCCAGTTGCCAGTTGCCAGGTGCCAGGTGCGAAAGAAACTACGGAAGAAAGGGAAGCAAATTATTAAATATTCTATCTAGCAGTTTATTTCTCTCCGATGGCCTTTTGCCAAGTGCGAATTGCACGCGAACAGTTTCTACCCTCTTCGCTCTTTAGTTTTATACGATCGAGCAAACGGTTCTCCAGATTCGCTAGCAAATTTTTCTCTCTTATAGGTATCTACATAAATGGGTGTTTATATGGAAGATAATAGGTATACACGTACATTTCACAGTGTTAAGTTTCTAATAATAAGTGAAGTAATGTGCGAAAAGTGGTCGACGGTAAAGCAAATGGATTTTCTATGATTTTGTAAATTTCAAGAAAGATTGAAAACACTTGCAGGAAGCTGACCGTAGTAGAGTGTAGAGTGTAGAGTGTAGAATGTACATACATACATACACATATGTACATACTTTGGGAGCGTGGCACGCGCAGAACCGGCTAATTATGTGCCACTCCTACGTTCCACGCGGCACAGGTGTCCACCGTTTCTTTACTCATTGCCAATTCCGTCATCTAACGGGTGCCAAATCGAGTAGATCTAACTTTCTTGTAAAAGTTTATCTTTTCTATATTATAAGTTTCTTTCTTTTTCTTTATTTATTATTGAAGCAATACTCCTTGTGCACACGTATCAGTGTTAAAATCTATATGAAAATCATATTGAAATGATTAATTGTAAGTAGGTAAGTTGATTAGCGAAGAGATTTTTGTTGAATGAAAAATGGGTGAAATAGTCTCAGGTTTAAATAAAGAACGACGGTTCTCGCGAATAGCAAGGACGCTTTTATTCTTTTTCACCGTTTTCCGAAAGAAAAAGGGGGCGAAGAATGAATCGAATCGATCGTGACGGGTGTAAAAAATGATTGTTATAATTATAATTATATGTATTTGAATGAATCTCGGACAAGCGATGCCAGGTTCCACGGTCTTATATGTATCATCAGAAGAGAACTTTGTCTCCATTAATCGCATTCCCACCCGCTCATCTGTAATTCAATAATTCGAAACATTTTCTCTTACCGACGCGAAACTGCAGGAAACATCGTATTTGGAGACGATCGAAATCGTTTATCCACGAAACTAGACGTATTTTTTCGACAATTTCAATATGTAGATATCTGATTCTCGTTCTTCTTGGTTCGTCTATGCGTAAACACCTAGTTGGTGTTATAGTTACAGCAAGTCAAGTCTACTTGTTAGTCTGTAACAAGAAAACCTGGCACCCACAGGTAGGCCTTGCCAGGAGGATGGGGGCGCACGATGGGGGAGTGCCATTGCTCTAACATCGCTATCATGCAGCTGTTCCATGAGCTGAAGCAGCAGTTCCCTGCGCTCCCTGATCACGTCGTATCCCAGTGCATCGCCCAGGTATTGTCCTCCGTTATTCTCACGACGAGCATGAAATTTTATAAATCCTTCCCTAACGCTTCAGGAACGAGACTCCCCCATTGTACAGTTTAGAAAGATTTCGCTCATCCTTTCTAACGACTAACCAAACAATTCTATTACGAACATCTAAATCCATCGCATTCTACTTTCTTTCCTCTCTTTGCACGAGCGTGGAACCTGTGTGTTGCAAACATTTTTTCTGAAACAATGCTATCCATTAATCAGCAACGATTGAACGAACTAAAAATTTCATCTCTAGTTTTAGGGGTTGGGAGTTCTGAATTTTCTAGCCCTATATTTGTTTCAACATTTCAACAAAGTTTAATCAATGTAAGTAGCGTAAGGTTTCAGGTTTGATGTAGCTAGGAATTTCAGAACTATCCCAGTACCGATGATACTCTGATAGAGTATACCTGAAAGACATACATAGTTGAACCGAGCAGAGTGTTAACCTGTTAATTATAACCTTGTAAACTCGTATCACGAATTTCTACGCGACAATTCAATCCACGCTTAACGGGTTAGCGCTACATCTGTTCTCTTCCTTTGCCTAGAACGCGTCGATCACCAGTCGTCGGTGTTACGACTATCGGAAACGATCGTTGCGATCTAGAAGAAGTCGACTTTTGCTAACCGATGACGGGAAATTGGCTGACCCAGGTGTGCGTGTGTGCGTTGCAGAACAGCCACGATCGGGAGACATGCGCGAGAAGCCTTCGTGCCACCCAACAGTCACGACAGTCTCCGGGCGCGTTTCCTCCGGCGGCACTTTGCAGTCTTCTTCAACAGCAACAGCAGCAGCAGCAACAACAACAACAACAACAACAATCACCAATGAAACAATCGCAACAAACTGGCACGAACAACAACGCGCGACCACACAGGCCATCCTCGTTGGACATCGGTATGGCACGACGCTGTCCTGTCAGCTGTACACGAGCCACCGCTAATTCAGCCATCCCTTCTTCAGCACCAGCCGCGTGCACAACACGCGGTTTCTTCGACGATTGCGACGCGAATTGCGCGAACAAAGTTAAGAACACGGCCAACGAGCCAGCTGGATTCGAGCTGAACGTGAACGTTGCCTGTAGTCCTGCTGGTAATCGCGGTACGCATACGTTTAGGTTCAATGAAAAATGCAAATGCTTATTAGGTAAATTCTTCCGTGTATGCATCGATCCCAATCACGTGCCGATTAATAGTCGACTTCTTTTCGTCCTTACTTTACTTAAGGTTATTTCTTTACGCTATTCATGGTATAATTGGTAAAAATTGGTAAAAATTGGTAAAAATTGGTAGACTTTCGAACGGTACCTACGATTGCTGGTGCCTGTAAACGAAGCGATCTCGTCCTCGATCCACCAACGCATTACGCAGAGTCTTTATTGAACGTGGAGAAGACAGGGCCGCAGATCGATCATACTCGAAGCTACACGTCGGTTAGCCTGACGTTGAGGCCACCATCCTCGGAACCACAACCACCGATCGACATAAGATCGCAGGGCTCGAGTTTGACTTACTCGAGCTCTTCTTTGGATCCTCGGGGTTTTCAAAGTCGTCTGCAAATCAGCATCGGCGCAGGAGCCGTTGGCAGTGTAGCGGCTGCAAGGATAAGACCGCCGATGGGCTCCAACAGGCTGAACAGGCCCAACAGCTTGATACCACCGGTACAACAAACCGGTCCGCAAAGGCCACCAGGTTTGTCTATTACCATTTTTTATCTATTATTCAGAAGAAAGAGAAACGTTATGAAAAATTTCAGGTCTTCCAGCAGGACCACCTAGTCAATTACCAAGGCCGACGACGACGATGAGCGCCCCAACCACACCCTCCGTTCCATCGACAACCAATATCGTTCCTCCTACTACAAGCCTTCCAACCACACCGTCAGCACCGACAACGACGACCTCGCCACCCTCTAGTCCCCTTGGCGAACGGATACAAACCAATTCCGATCAGAATCGATCGCCTTTCAATCAAGGTATCTCTATTCGACAATAATAATAATAATAATAATAATAATAATAACAACATTGTATCCGCTAATGTACCTGCGAGCAGCATACTACGGTCGCGTCGCGCGTACTACGCCCACGCATCCAACACCGAGAACGATATTTACGCATTCCTGACCCCACGCTCCGTCTATAGATAGCCTCGGTTGCGGTTACTCTACGTGTGGACCACCTGATCCGTTTTTCCTTCTCGCCAGCGGGCTAACATCATCTCGATCTTCTTGTTGACGCCTTTCCTTTTCTTTGCCTTTCATTGCGTTTCCTTACCTCTGTAATCACCCGCACGCGACCAAAATCAAACAACCACGACACGTGTATGTAATCCTTGGATGAAAAATCCTTTGTCACTCTAGAAATTGACTGGTTCATTTTCGAATGTACCGTGGCTAGATTTCACTTTCCTGCAGCCTATGAGTTGTAGCGTCATAAATAATCTTTTACCGTTTCATTATTATACTCGTGTATTCTTCTCTAACTTACTCGTCTAACGTTTAAATTGCCTTACCGTATACAATATGTATATCATTTCCTGAAACTACCTGTCTACCTATAATATAATAGTATCGCAGGGATAAGATAACGATTACATCGTTCGTGAAACTAGAGATAGATTTTCTAAAACTAATTATAGCGACACTTTCCCACTCTAAAAATGGTGTCGTACGTTGGATTATATTACCTCTGACTGCTTCTGTTTCTTCTTCTCTCTTATGCGTTCAAATTTTTAACTCTTACTATTAATGTTAATGTTATTGTTACAGTGGCGGAGCACCAAAGGAGATTGGTTGCAGAACAATTAGCTAGAAAAGACAAACTCGCCAGGGAATTGAAGGCCGAGAAAGGACGACTCGAAGCGATGAAGAAGGAGCTGCAATCTCTCTCGAGGCCCTTCGATTCTTCGATGCCGCCTCAAGTACAATACCCATGCTTTCGATAACTTGTTACCTATTTTTTTATCTTGTCATTGCAACGCAAAATATTGTAGTAATCGGTGCTTTTATTTACCAGGAGTTAAAGAAAAAATTAAGAAGCGAGATATATCAATTGCAAGTAGAATGCGATAGACTCGCGGAAGAAGTGGATCGCTGGTCGGATCTAAGAGGTAGCTAATCGTTTACACCTTTATTTAATTATGTCGTTGAGAAACTATTTTCTTTAGAAAATGGCTGTTACGTTGTTTATTTTCAGTGCCGTTGGGTGAAACAAACGAAAAATTTTATCAGCACATTTACACAGGTCAACCCTTACCCTCCAGGTCTACCAGTTCGAATCCACCTCCTCCTTTACCAAGCCAGCCACCTGCCTGGCAACCAGAACTCACCGGAAACAACGACACGGACGAACGAGACGGCCCTTCTTGGATCTGCAGAATGTGTACGTTTAAGAATCATCCGTTGATGAACAAATGCGAGCAGTGCGACATGCCCAGGCTATTGGATCACGGAAATACAGGTACGACTTGTCGAAAATCGATCGATCATCTTGCGACCTCGTTAATTCGTTTGGACGTCGATCAACTACCACCTCCGCCGTCGCCGTCGCCGTCGCCGTCGCCGTCGCCGTCACGACCGGAATCGTAAAAAAAAAGCTGCCTTAAGCCTTAACAGCATGTGTCTTTGGTTTTGGATGAAACAAGTTATTTTCTAGCAAACAAGAGAATAACAATCTCCTACCCTCTGGTTCGAGCAGAGTGGATGTTTTACGCTTGGACACACTGTGATGATGCGCGCAACCAAAGTTGATATTTTATCATTGTAAGATATTCCATGTATCGACCGCCGCGCCGTTACGATACCTTTTAACTATCATATAAATAATAAATTTAAATATGGCGCATGTTATTTTCTCATTAATTTAACCACGTCTAATTTAGCACGTATTTTTATTCAAATGTTATTATTAATCATTTTTACATTGCCGAGCTGTCTTGTCTTTTTACGCATTATACTTAACACAAGTTGACGATCACGCAACAAAAAGTTTTATGGATAGAAATTGGTAAGTAAACAAATTATTCAGATATATGTATATGGATAGAATTGTGCAATTATGCGTGTTACTTTCACTTGTACAGTAATGGAACTTGTACGATTTGCAGGCGAAACGCAAGATATTCATATACGAGTTACGCATCATCACAACTTTTCACCAAGTCGTGAGTATTCGGTGTTTAAAGGAACTAAAGATTACGTAAAACTGTACGTAATGTAAAAGAGTTTTATATTTTTCAGGAACGGTGCACAGTTGGGTGGTATGACGCGAACTGCATTAGAAATTTGAAAAACTGTATATAAAATCATCATTTAAATTAAATAAAAAGTCGTAATTGACAGAGTACGAAAGAAAAGCACAAGTTTCAATGATTAAATTCAGTGTAAGTTTTTTCTTTTTTTCATCATTATTTTTATTATTATTTACGGTGATGTACATTATATTTAAAAGTAATATACTTTAGTAATAATTAAAATTATATATAAACTGAATCTGAATTTAAAGATCGCAATCACCGTGACACGAAATGTACCATCTGCACTTATAATTACTAAATAATACCAACAAATTATCAGTAGTTTGACACCTATTTGTATCAGTTTTGACATACTATTTAAAATACAAGTTATTTGTAGTAAGTTTATTAGTGTAATATATTTTCTTTGCCATTATATAGCTGTACCCCTTTCCAGATTCAACTTTGTTTCACGCGTGTATTCTCCATAAAATCTTTCCAATTTTTGATTGAATTTAGCATTACGTTCGTTGATGTAATCGATATCGGCATCGTCGTTGTGCATTCTTCTTCTGCTGTACTTGTCCCTCTTTGCAATCCTAAAAAGAAAGAGATGCATGAAAATTGATGAAAATACCGGCGTAAAAATAATGTTATTTTTCTTTCTTTTCCAACAATCTACTAACTGTTTCTCTAAATCTTGAACCATTTTATCAATAGCCTCTTTTTTATCTTCGTGAAGACCATGCAGTATGGTGTTTCTGTCTCCATAGAAAGCTGGACCTAATTTTTCTCTGGCCTCGTCGTAACAGTCCATATTTGGTTTAATATTTTTTACTAATCTATTGTACTGTCTGATGGCTGCTTGTTCATAATCAGAGAAACCTGGATCTGGATTTTTTTTATTCCTCTTTTTCCTTGCTATACGTTCTGCCTCTGTTGCATCGATGTGAAGTAATTTCGTTCGTTCGTAATCTTCCCCCTAACAAATATGTATGTAAACGGTTAATTAATGCGTTATAAATGCACTTTTTCAGTAGTAAATGGAGGGATAGTAACTTTTTCTTGTGCTATTTTTTTTGCAGCTTCATCCTGCATCATCCATTCTGCTTGCCTCTTACGTGATTCCCAGTTCGAAGGAAGCTTACTTCTTTTGTCCTCTTCTATAACCTCTTTATGATTCTGCTGTCTGGCCTCATTCTATGAAATCAAGGCATTATATTTATAAGAAATACACAATCCAGCAGGTAGGTTTGAAAAATCAAAGAAACAAATAGGAATGATAGGAATGTAAAGTGTAAAGGTTAGAACATCTAACATTTCCTACTTACTCTCTTTCCATGCAGCTCTCGCAAACGCTTCATTCGTTCCCTATGCTTTTCTGTGGCTGATTTTTCACTCTCCTTTTCCATTATAATTTTCTTGTTAGATTAAAACGCGATCGTTTATCAAATTCAGTTACGTTCACCCAGGTTGATTCTGATTGGAAATAAACACGTAATAATGCTTCATGTTTTCACGAAAGTTTTAACAGATGTCAGCACGATACGGTTCGTGGAGAAAAAAGGTGATGAATTCGAAAATTAACCGTAAGAATGAAAAAAATAAAGAAAAAGCAACGTTGACGTTTCTGCATCGTGAATGTATGTATAATACGCGATATAACCAAAACTAGTGTTTTGTTCATGAACCATGCAATGTATGCAAATGTATGTATTGTTGCTCGAACGCACGTGAGCCACGTGTCTATGTCTATGACGTTGTCACTGTTCTTTGGATTGATGTGCGTTACTTTTATCACGAGTGAAGCGTTAAAATTTTTCACTCCTTTAAGATGGATTATGAAATATTTTCTTTGATTATGCTGCTGACACGGATGCTTTAAAAGGAAATTGTATGTATACATACATATATTGAGATATATGTTGATGCATTTAAAATATGCATTGTTTTTCTTTAGAATGTATGCCATGTGACGTTTGGTTTTCAACGATCAACAGTTTAGATCGAAAACAGATTTACACGAATGGCAATATTAATTGAGAGAAAGCATTTTTACTGCTTTCATTTTAACCAAATATCGTCAAATTGACAATAGTATGTGATACCTTACTAGTATTGGTTACATGGCAAAAGAAAGGAAAAAAGCGTTTTCTGTCGAGATACTCGATCAAAGATACTCGAAAAGATCGTAAAAGGTGCTCGAGCAAAATGAACAACCAAACGATTATTTATTGGAACGAAGAAGATAAGTTAAGGAATATTTTCCATCTTAACGATAAGGTTCAGTACTTTTCTTTGAAAGACGTAGGATTTTGATTTTATTTATTGTTGAAGAAACAGTCGATAATCCGTTTGGTAAACAATGAGATTGAAACTGTTTATATCGATGATCCATTTGATCATTGGTACTTTGTATATCCATGTTGTCGGAGAAAGCGCAGCAGAGTCCCGAACAAAATCAAATCATGTTCAGCCACCTTTGGACCGAGAAGTAAGTTGATTTCTTCTTTTAAACTTTTCTGTATGAAACGTCGGTAATAAAATACTTATTAGAAATGTTTTTACAGTACAAACACAGACAAAATACAGAATTGATACCAGAACAAGACGATCCTTTGCTGATGTTTTCCACGTTAGATGGCTCACTGATAGGTATAGAACAACGTTCTGGAAAGGTGCTTTGGCGGCAAAGCGATGGTACTGTAAATAGGTATAATTAATCGAATAAATGATTTCTCGATTTCGCTTAGTACAACTTGAAAATCTGTGTTCCAGAACCAATCGTCAAGGTACCGGTAGATCTAGCGACAACTTCCACGTATGTATTTTCCTAATTTTCACTTGGATAATATCGTCAAGTTTTTCTTCGTGTCTAATATCTGTTTGTTTGTTTGTTTATTACAGACCTATGTTTTTACCCGATCCAAAGGATGGTTCTTTATACGTATTTGGAGCAGAAACCGAAGCAGTGAAAAAACTACCATTTACCATTCCTCAACTCGTAGCGAATAGTCCTTGCCGTAGTAGCGATGGAATATTGTATACCGGTAGAAAGATAGATACCTGGTTCGGTGTCGATCCCCGAACTGGCGAAAGGGAACAACTTCTTGGATTCGATAAGGTTAAAAATACTTGTCCCGTCGAGATGCAGAATGCTGTCTTCGTTGGACGCACTGAATATAACATCATTATGGTGGATAGCAAACAAAAGAATCGCAAATGGAACGTTACGTTTTACGATTATTCTGCTACGAAAATGGAACCCGATGGGATAGAAAATTACGGTTTAGTAGCGATACCAGTCTAATAATAACGATAACATCGGTACAGAGAGTACGAAATTCTTTTTTTTTTTTTTTTTTTTTTTTCTTCTTTCCCTTACAGAGATGGTTCACTTTACGACGAGTGCGACCGGACGCATCGTCACCGTAGACAGAAGATTGGGGGTCGTCCTATGGGAACTCGATGTACAGAGTCCAGTAATAGCGGTGTATATCGTAAGGGAAGATGGTTTGCTAACAGTTCCCTTCACTAGCGTTGCTGACGAAACTTTGGATCTGCTTCTGAAACGTTTTGCAAAAAAACCGAGCGACATTCAGTTATTGTCAGTAATGAAATGAAATGTATCTGTTGTAATCTGTTTTAGCCAAGATGGTAATTTTTGTTTTTCTCGGTGGTAGTCCAACGTTATACATTGGTCAGCACAGGCACGGACTTTACGCTCTACCATCTCTGGTCGATTCAACAACGGCTACGGTATCTAGTAACATTGGACAGTTATTGTTGGAGGGTCCGTTATCGGTTCCTCGATTGGGTGAAAACGGGAACCGGAACCGGAACCGGAATACACCTTTATCGAACGATCGCGTACATGCGGCCACCACCACCACCACCGATACCGTTGCTCAGATGGGGTATCAAACTGTCATAAGATTAGGTATCGGTTTACTACGGTACTATAACCACATAATTGGATAAATTTAATAATTTAAATAATGTAAATAATTTAAATAATAGGTTATTACGAAATACCGGCTGAATACAAATTACAAGATGAACCGCCGCTTCAAATTACCGGTCGATCCGATCCTGTGATCGAAACGTTACCACTACGATACTCGAACACAACGAAAGAAGCATCATCGTTTGCCTTGCAATCCGATGACGAATCAAACGACGACGCGACCGGTAAATCTTGGCACGAGTTTCTACGAAATACTTACGCTACGAGCAAAAGTTGGTTCAGTCAACAAGAAAATAAAGGGTTGAAATTAACGTTGATTATATTGCTAGGATGCATATTAACAATGTTTTGGTACTTGAACGCACAGTTAAAGGAATTTCAACAACTTTCTCAGGTATTTAAAAAGTTTTGCGTTTCTCTCATTTTATTTGATACGTATATAAAAAAAAGAATATAAATATAAATATAGTGTAAATATCGGTGTTTTTGGGAATTCGGTTGGTTTGTTAAGAGATGAATTATCAGCAGAGCTCGCGAGGAAGCAATCGAAGCGTGGATTATTATGGAACGCGATCGAACGCGTTGCTCGCAGTCCCGGAAGACATAGGAGAAGGGGTGGTGAAGATCGGAAAGATAACTTTCGATACCGGTCAAGTTTTAGGCAAAGGATGCGAGGGAACGTTCGTGTATAGGTAAGTAGAGAGGTTTAACCAGGATAGAATGAATAAAATGAATAACGAAATGAACGATCTCGAATTTTATTTTCTCAGGGGCGAATTCGACGGTCGTTCGGTGGCCGTGAAGCGTTTGTTACCGGATTGCTTCACCTTCGCCGATCGAGAAGTAGCACTGCTCAGAGAATCGGATGCGCACGCGAACGTTGTACGATATTTTTGTACCGAGCAGGATAGAATGTTTAGGTATATCGCTTTGGAACTAGCAGAAGCAACTCTGCAAGATTACGTTGCCGGTAAATACGATAGACGAAAGATATCTGTGAAAAGTATTCTACGACAGGCAACGTCGGGTCTAGCTCATCTACATTTTCTCGATATAGGTGAGAGGAATCATCTTTAACGATAAATTTGATATATCGTTATTACTTATGTACTTATTTTATAGTGCATAGAGACATAAAACCGCACAACGTATTGTTGTCGACACCAGGACCACGGGGAGAAGTTCGAGCTATGATATCGGATTTTGGTTTGTGCAAGAAGCTCCAATTAGGTCGCGTGTCATTTTCACGTAGATCGGGTGTAACTGGAACGGACGGTTGGATTGCACCAGAAATGTTGAACGGAAGCAGAACCACTTGCGCCGTGGACATCTTCTCTCTTGGTTGTGTATTTTACTACGTCCTGTCCGATGGAAAACATCCATTCGGAGATCCGTTGCGGCGACAGGCTAATATTTTATGTAAGAAAGACGTTATTTATTATACACCTATGACACTTGTTCTTTCTGATTTACCGGAAAAGCGTTTGTGAACTCTCGTTACTATCACGGTAGGCGGAGAAAGCGATTTGACGGCCCTTCACGATGTAATTTCTCAAAGCGACAAGGAATTGGCGTTGGTACTTATAAAAGCGATGATCGCAAATAATCCGTCGGAACGACCACCCGTAACGGCCGTCCACGATCATCCGATCTTTTGGGAATCCGTCCGAGTTCTTGGATTTTTTCAGGTATCTATCCTATCCTATCCTATCCTATCCTATCCTATCTACATATAATCAGTTAAAATTGCCTTTAGATCGCGATATTCCCTTTTTAACTTTTTCCAATTAGGACGTGAGCGATCGCGTAGAAAAAGAACAAGCAGATAGTCCGGCACTGATAGCGTTGGAATCTGACAACGGTCGCGTTGTACAGGGTGATTGGAGGTTGTCGATCGACGTACAAGTTGCAACCGATCTTCGAAAGTATAGAAGCTATCGAGGCGAAAGCGTTCGAGACTTACTAAGAGCGTTACGAAACAAGGTAACCGATAGAGAACAGGCGGATAGAAGGAATTAATCAACGACTTTCGTTTCTTTTTATCATTCGTAGAAACATCACTACAGAGAACTCAGTCCACAGGCTCAAGAAAGTCTCGGGGATATTCCCGATAAATTCACCGATTACTGGCTTTCTAGATTTCCTTGTTTGCTTTCGCACGTTTGGTGCGCGATGCAAGCATTCCGTGACGAGTCAACGCTAAGGGATTATTATCACGTCGATTACATGTTTGCAACTAGTTGCGAAACGGTATCTACAGGAAAGGTTACACATTCTACGAACGATACGTTAGTAGAAAATTCCTGGAGAGTCCGCGACAGTATCGACTGGAGTCCTAACAGAACACGGTATCGTGGTCAACGAAGAAAACAAGAGAAGAAAAAAATTAACGCCCCGCTTACTTGGACCTTACCGTCGAGCTAGTAACGTCGGATGCAACGCGCCAAAGTGTCGTCGATTTATTTTTGTCTTACCTTGCATCTTGGAATTGTAATTTTACTTGCTTCGACAAAAGGACCATTATTACCCGATACGAACACTTGCAAATACTTGTAAATATAGTATAGGATATCAACGAGGAGGGAACATTTCTAAAGATTTAAGTTTATTACCGTGATAATGATAATGATAACGATGATGATAACAAAAGAACAGTAGTAATAATGATACAAGAAATACGTTTAATGAAAATTCGTCTAAACGTCTATGTTGGATAAAACGAGATAGGATAAATTGTACAATTTAAAGATAAATAGATACATGTATATCTTTTTCACGCAATTTGTATAACTGTAGTAGGTAACGAAACCACACAGCGATATAAAGGATCAACAACCTGTCAAGCGTTACACATGTGAGTACATCATATATGTATATGCATATGCATATTCGTACTCTTATCCCTCTTATCTTTAACAGTTTTTATTCACGTTACGAGTGTCTAATCGACGAACAATGCAGCGTAATCATAAGAATATTTTCAGGTACATTGGAATTCGTTTGCGAAAATTACGTCGATGCATTTCGTTCTCGCTCGACAATACATTGGTCCTACTACTGTTTCGTCGTTGTCGTACGTTTCGTGGAAATCTTTCACTTCCTCTTTCGCTCCTGGAGAATACAAGAAATTCGGACTAGATGGGAAAAAGAAATTACACAGATGAAAAGTTTCAAACAACGACAAGGTAATTAGGAAAATGAAGAAATAGAATGCAACAGAGCTTTTTAGTTTTGTTTCGATCAAACGAACTGCTCGAAGCATACGCGTATACTTATTTTTAGTAACAAGTTGTAGGTAAGTGTAATATATATATATATAAGTAAGTGCGTGAACGCCGTTGAAATGACTTATTTACGGTAAAGTTTTCTCAATCTTTTCTTCCCCGTTTTTCATAGCTTTCGTTCGTCTTTCTTTCCTATCCTGCCTGATGAACTCGGGATCGTTCCAACATTCGACTTCTCCGCTCGCGTAAAGTACGAAAACCAAATTGGTCACTAAGAATACAGCTAAGACGATCCAAAACACTAATCTCCATTCGGTAAGGGAGCCGTTCGGAGTCAATTCACCGACGATATACGGTGTTAGAATACCGCTGAAAGCGCCTATTCCATTTACAAGTGCCATCAAAGTGCCGGAATAATTCGGGCTAAGATCCAAAGCGTTAACCTTCATTCCTGGATAGAATGTGCCTGAAAGAATGTAGAAGATGGATCTTGGTAAATTTCGTGTAGAAAGTGGTTAAGGTAGACCGAGGTAAAAAAAGGTAATATAGGACTCACCCATCAAAGTAGTGCCGAGAGTAAACATGAGAACGACCGTGGTTCTGTCGCATTCGGCGTAAGAGGCACCCATAATGAACGCTCCTGGGCCAAGCGAGGCAATCGTGGTTCCGAGTTTGCGTACGTTGGTACGTGACATGAAACCCCTGGTGATCATCCAGTCGGCCAAACAGGATGTAACGACGCTACAAATCCACATGGTCAAGTAGGGTAACGCGGACAACAATCCGTTGCTCTTGATCGAATACTTGAGAACGCTGCTCATGTATTTGGGGAGGTCGTTCACCAAGGTGAAGAAACCCCAATCGTGACCAATTTGCGCGGCTATCAGTGCCCAAAGCGGAACAGATGTAAGAAGGTGTCTCCACGGTACCGAGGGTGGTTTCTTATGGGTATGCGCCTGCATTCTTTCCCGCAAGAAGTTGATCTCGTTTTCGGAAATGAACGGATGCGTGTCCGGACTGTTGTAACAGGTGATCAACCATACGAGAAACCAAAGTACACCGACACTGCCAAACACGTAGAATACAGCCGGCCATCCAACGGTCGAATAATGAAGAATAATACCGGACAAGGAGTTTGCAAAGACAGTGCCAAGTTGCGCACCAGCAAACACCAACGAACCGATCATCGATCTTTCCTGGGGAGGTGTCCATTGAGCGAGCATCGCGTTCAACGCCGGATACGTGGTACCTTCGCAGAGACCCATCAACACGCGTACAATGATCAGGGCTGGTGCTTCCCCGAGATCCACAACGAGCGGCGTCAGCAGCGTAAATACCGCGGTTGCCAAGATTCCCAGACCCAACGAATATTTTCCACCGAATTTTTCCGACAGCATACCTCCGGGTAAATGCGTGATCACGTAACCCCAGTAAAACGACGATAAGATTATACCCTGAACAGACAACGCGATCGTATAATAATCACCATCACCTTTCTTCTTTTTTTCTTTTCTTCTTCATCTTTTTTACCTGAGTGCGTTCGTCCCACTCGTATTGTTTCGCGTTGGACGGTTTCGAATCCGCGTTATCATCTAGATCGTTTCCCATCATCTGACAAGTACCGTTGTTGGGTTTCGTTGTAATCTCCGATGCGCGTACCATCTCGGTGATCGTGATCGAAAGGCAGACTCTCATCGCGTAAGCGTTGAACACCGCCAAAAATCCCATTATCGCGAATATCCATCGTTGCGGTATTCTGCCACCTGTGTACAATAAATACGAACGGTAGTAATAGTATCGACGATAAATAACAGACCCACGAGACGGCAAAGAAAGCCCGAGGTCAACGGCGCGGAAGGAATTACGATTAGCAAAGCCTTTCCCTATTGGCAGCTGTCTAACGAGCCGTACAAACTTATCTAGGTAAAGGTCAGATTCCTTGCACGTATCACTGACTCGGCTATCAGCACAATTTTCAATTTCGACTCGCGCCTGTTCAGAAGGCGAACCGGCAAACAGGCAAGCTTTCAAATGGTACTAAAACAGCAACGAGAAACAAAGACAAACAAACAGAGCGGGGGGCCGAGTTAAAGAGACCGAGAGAGAGTAAGAAAGAGAGAATTTTCGATGGATTGACAGATCCTTGAAATCCGAAAAAGGTCGTCGCACGACCTTTCGCATCGATGATTCGTGATTCGATTACAACTACAGGTACATACGTCTCTAATCAACGAGAAAAACAGTTTCGTAATTTATCTTTTTTTTCATTTTCGTAATTTGGTACCGCTTAAATACAAAAGCGATTAATGAAATTCGGGATTTTCAAGATCGTCCCTTGGACCTTGGATAGAGAAAGGATTTGACGACGACGACGTCGACGACGACGACGACGATGACGATGATGATGATAAGGTTAATCACTAAAGTTTAACGTATCGATGTTGAAATAAGCGATAATTCGTTACAGATCACGGATACTTGTTGTTGATCGTAAAAAAGAAGATTGTGTAAAATTTTTGATACAATCGAGAGGATCAAGAAACTGAGATAAAACATAATACTTTGAAGTCGATCGACGACCGTTGTCTCTCCGTCGGCAAATGTATAAATTTTCTGATTTTTTTTTTCCTTCCTCCTTATTTCGGTTCGTTTGGTTAAAAATAAATAAAATACTATCAATCAGACACAGTATCGAATAGTTTATCTTATCTATCTGACGATCAGCTGGAAACCTAAACATAAGAGGCTGAAAACTACCAATAACATTGCTGACAATACATATAATGTATAAATATATCATTCGCTGATTTGTCGCGACGATGTTGGCTTACTCCACTTTCTGTATCATAGATACCCGTAAATCTTGTTAATTCCTGTAATCTTCTCTCTCAAAGAGCGAGTTATTTTCCCTGTTTTAGTCGTTATTCATTTTATCTGACACACAAAACAGGTTTATCCGTCGACCGTGGAACAATAAATCTTATCATGACAGATCTTCCTAACTAATTTCTGTTTTCAATTACAATTTCAATCGTACCTATTTTGTTTTTGATAAGCTTGTTTAGTTTAGAATTGTATTCGGAAGTAGAGGAAAAATGGACAGGTAATGATCAGAAAGTGTAATAAATTATAATATCCTTCGTTCGTGTCTATACTTGTGTAAAATTCGCATTTGGTGGCGAAGGTTGTTTCTTGATTCGTTAACCAACGGCATGTTATTTTTTCTTAACAGATCAATAATGACGAATATTGTCGGAATTACCAAAAGTTAAATCAACAGTCTGTTGTTTCAGTACAACTTTGTTCGCATAACACGAATCCCTCTCTCTTTCACTCGTTTCCTATTTTATTTACCAAGATCGAGTCATCGAATTGAAAAATAATGGAAAATGGAAACCGAAAGCGAAAAACGATTGGAAACATAAGAGAATGTAGTTTGAAAAGTGCACTAGTTTCCCGAACGAGATTCAATGTTTCAATACGAGTAAGGCGCGTACGAAGAAGGGAATTTGAAAAATTTTTCATACAATCCTTTTTAAAATTGCGCACTATTTCATCGATACTATACGCAAGTAATACTTACAGCATGCCTTCCAAACGGATAACATCCCGTCGATACGTTAAATACGTTCTTTCAGGATCGGCTAACAATCGGCTGAAGTGAAACGAACACAGAAAAAAACAGCTCGTACAGTTTCGATGATACCAGTTCACTTTTTTTCTTCGAAATTGTATTAGGAATATTAGCGAAAAGAGAAAAGAAAAGAAAAGAAAAGAAAAGAAGAGAAACACGATAATCTACAGGTTGAAACGGTCGTCGGTTCTTATATACATCTTATTGTTAACCACATGTCGCGAGTAACTGAATCGACGCTCTCTGTGCGAATTCGTTTTATACTCGTAGAACACGTGCTTCTTAATAAACGCGAAAAGGGAAAGGAATCGTGGATAAAAGGCCATACGAACTGGTAAAAGTTGATATGGACAAGGCATAACCGATAAATGAAGAAGAGAGAGGGGGTTATAAAGCAGGTAAAGAGGAAGAGAAGGAGTAGGAGGAGGAGAAGGAACGATAACGCGATCCGCAACATATGTAACTTTACACTTATTCTCGATAAACTTGTAAAGTTGTATTATAAATCTATTATAAATTGCAATAGGGAGTTCGATAGGACGAAAAAAAAAAGGAAATAAAGGATAAGGGAAGATATTTTCGGAGAAAACAATATACATATACATATTTCTTTCAATTTCCTTCGTAACTGGAACCATCGCACTGCTCCGTTCAAAATTTACATCACGTTTAAGATTGCCGCGAAACGAAGCTTCGATAAGGCTGTCGGTAATCCATCGAGTGCAAGGCTTAAATCGAACCGCCAGATAACGAATACGATTCCTACTATCTAATGAAACGGCCGCAACGTAAGATACTTGTTCGTGTTCTTACCGCGCTGACGCGTATCGTCATAAATTTTACCTTTGCTGCTTCGATTCAAAGGTACGGGCTACAATTTCGCAACATCTCATTGTCAGATAAACAAAGACGTCGTAAAGGAAATTTTAGTTTTCCACGTTTAAAATTGTATCGTATCGTATCGTACAGTGTTTTGTTTCTTTATCAATCAGTTTACTCGAAATCAACGTGTACAAACATTTTCAGCCGCAAAATCGTTAAAACTGTCAATAAAGAACACCTTTTCGTAACAGAAAGTGAAATAATAATTGTTCTTAATCGCTTTACAAGCGACAAATCTTTTCTTCTTAAAACCATTATCTTTCATTCTATGATTAATATGTACCAACGTATACGATACGATAACAACACCGTACGATATAGAATGAAGAAAGTTTAATGAAAAAAGAAAGAAAGAAAGAAAGAAAGAAAGAAAGAGGGAGAGAAATTAATCTCGTCGTTAATAAAGAAACAACATCGCCGATTTATCAATAACTGCAACATTTATTTGGGAAAAAAATAGAAAAATAAACTTATAGTATAATATAAAAAGTAGAAAAGCATATTTATTTAATCGAAAGCTTCAGAATTCTTCTTCAGTTCTTTATAAATACGAGGTATGTCATGCATCAATCTCGCGCTTTCTTCCTTCGCTTTATCCAGAGCGCATTCCAATTCACGCGTCTGTAATATATAGTGGATTTTTTTGCTTTTACCGTTTCTCTCTAATCTGCGGGGCCACGTCCGCGTTAACATCCAACGGCTATAAACGCGTCGACTATTGCGCCGTGATACGCGGAAAATACCTTTGATTAAACAAAGATGTGGCCCCAACGTAACGATTAAGTATACTTACGCATTCCTTTACCGTGTAAATTTTAAACAGATCGAACAATTCCCGTACGGTCCATGAAGCTTCGTCAAATTTTTGTAATTTTATAAATGGACATTCAGGCTGATGTTTCAGATGTTCTTGCCTGTTAACAGTAAGCGTGAGCTATAGTATTAAAACGCATTAGGAGAAAGAGGAAAGATTTAAAAGAAAGAAAACAACTGGTACCAGGGATCGTCGTCGGGATCCCAACCGTCGAGTTGTTTGGAACAGACGAAACACTCGACCAAATCAGGTTCCCCTTCACCCCCGATAGCGTAAAATCCGGCAGCTGCCATCTTTGCAGGGTTACACGAATGTTGGATAGACTGATAAGGCCAATGGTTGAAAGTCTTTAATCGACCAACCTTCCAAAATGTAGAGTCTACTCCTCTGAAGGAATAATAGAAAAAAAAAAAATGAAAGAGATTAATATTAACGGGGAAACAGGATTCGTAGAAAGGTTAGGAGACAAGCGTTGGTTGTTCGTTTAGCAAAGAAAACGCGGTTATTTACAAACGATTATGAAACAATAGAAAAGAATCATAAAGAATTACTTACGGAAAGAAATCCATGAATGCCTGATAAACGAACCGAATCGTAGGATAATCCGATATTTAAAAGAAAGTGGCGTCGCAACAGAACCACTTTTCGTCCCACCATTGCCACTGCCGGTGGCCGGTGCCCACCGTTGCCAATGCCAGTAGCGCCAAGTAGCGCGTAAACTCGAGCTCCGCTGCTGCAATCTATGTGCAACTATTTACTCTTGTATGTATGAACATACCATGTATGTATGTATGTAGGTACGCAAGGTGGCCAACCTGAAATCTTGGAGCCAAAAAGTGTTTGAAAAAAAGCGAAAAATCCACAGGAACCTTATTCACGGCCCAGAAATCCCAGAATTTCCCTACACCGCAAGGAGGACACGCAACAACTGCATCGTTTATTCGGGTATTTTTAATTTTTACTTTTAATAGCCAAAATGTTGTAGAACAAGGATTGCAAAAAAGGCAAAAAGCGAAATCAATTTTTGGAAGGTAACCGAATTAAAAAAATGCCAAATTTCCGGAATTTGGCCTAGAAAACTCCAAGTTGGCAACCCTGCTTCTACGTTTGACAAATTGAACGAATCTCCACGATGGCAGAGATTTCCTTAGCAATCGACATTTCGACTCTTCACGACTCTTTACTTTTTCCGAAAATAAGTGCATACAAATTATTATGTACCTACTTATTTACTTATTGATCCATGTGTACATACATATGTATGATGGATCCCCATACATACGTATGTAGTACATCAATTACCATGGAAACACAATTGTTGTTTTATCAGGGTTTTGTGCGTCTTCAATAAAGTTACAGATCGTTCGTAAGGAGCGTACAAATCGAATTGTATCCTATCAAAGAGAATAATTTCGTCGGCCGTTTGATTATGAACGTTAACGAGCTTGAAATATTTAGCGTAGTAGCATTCGATGGTTAGTAAATACGAGATATCAAAGAAATATTCGTTGAATCTTCAAAGATAATAAAAAGAACGTAATCCCGTCTTAATCGACGTACAGGATACGTATAAATTATACTTTGTTACGTAACGAAATACCTTTTAAACGAGTAAAGCACCGACGAGAGTGCTTACCAATGATTTTATAAGAAGTTTTTATAGAGTGTGAACCGAGTCTCGATTTCGTGACGTAACATTCGATTCGATTCGATTCGATTCGTTTCGTTTCGTTTCGTTTCGTTTCGTTTCATTTCATTTCATTTCGAATTCTGCATTAAATTAGAACGCAACATGTAACGTGTTACAAAGAGAACACGGAGCAGGCAAAGAAAGAAAGGTAAATATTTAGAATAAGGGAGCCACCTCTGATTTCGTACTTTTCGTAAGTATCTAAAAAAGTCCTTGCCAAAGGGGTTAACGTCGTCGCTAGGGCGAAGCCCCTTATTGTAAATATTTACCCTGAAACGTCCTGGAAAAAATACCTGGAAAGGGAAAGAAGCGAATTTTTAACAGGTGCGCGAAGAAAGCGCGCGTTCTATTGTTTTCGATGATCGGGTGGCTGACGGAAAACGAGTAGATATGTAAATGTACATACGCTTTGCAACACGCGGAAATTTCCGCTCTACGGTAGAAGCAATTTATTCGAGGAATCGCATTTCTACTTACAGGCATAACGAGAAACGGTTTAAGACAGCATCCAAACGGAGAGCATCTTGCGTATCCGATGGGCAACAAAGTCGCTGTAAAAAATTTAAAGACAAACGAACAATTCTTCCTTGCTGGGCACAAAAATGTAGTATCCGCTTTGTGTGTTTCACCTAATGGAAATCTATTAGCTTCCGGTCAAGTGAATCATTACGGTTTCAAGGTGATTTATTCGTGAGCATTATTCATTATAAATACACCGACGCATCAGTTGGTAGACATTGTTAAATCTCGGTCGTGTTGAAACGATCGATAATGATTTCCTTTCTTGACAGGCAATGGTGATAATATGGAACTTTGCGGAACGTAAAATCAAAGCTAGTCACGAAATACACAAAGTCAGAGTCGAGGACGTGTGTTTCACTAACGACGAACGGTATTTGATCAGTCTCGGGGGCATCGACGATGGTTGCATCGTGGTGTGGAATGTCGAAAACGGAACTCCACTTTGTGGTAATTTCCTTTCATTCATCCTACGTTCTAGGTTTTACGTTTTAGTTACTATACATGATATATGTAAACGTACCTACTTATGTACATTAAGGTACGTTGGCAAACAGCGGAATGTTTGGAAACGCTACAACGATCGCGCGAACAAATCTTTCTAAAAGGAATTTTCTCACTGCCGGGGATGGAACATTAAAACTATGGTATATCGATGAAAAAGATGGAAAATTGAATGGGATCGAGGCGAAGATCGGGAAAATGAAACGTGCCATCAATTGTCTGGTCGTAGACGAAAACGATGAAAACGTTTATTGCGGAACGACATCCGGTGACATCTTAAAAGCAAGGTTGCTTTCGGTAGATCTCTTCGTTCTCTTTTCTTCTTTTTTCTTATTTTTTCTTATTTTTTCTTATTTTTCCTATCGTTCTTTCTAATCAGATTTGCGAATGTTTTGCATAGGCTGAACATCGGAGAGTTGCAAGAATCGATAAAATGTCCGATTATGATCGGATGCTATTCAAAGATACCAAAGCACATGTCGCGAGGTAATTCAAACGGGGGAGAAGTATACGCGGGTGGTGTGAAAAATTTGTTACTCTTACCGAAAAAGAAAATAGTCGTAGGCGCAGGCGATGGAACGATCGAATTGATCGAGATAAAAGAAAACTCGGGATTCGTCAAAGACGAGGCAAAGAAGAATTCGTTGGTCATACCGTGTATAATAACGGTAAGTGCGATTTATTTGCGACAAGTTACAAGTTAAACGAAGAATTGATTTCGTTGAGACAGCATCGTAGCGGGAACGTCTGCGCCACGGTAACATCGATGACCCGTTACCGAAACGATTTTCTACTGGTAGGAACAAGTTTATGCGAAATTCACGAAATCGAATTGTCAACTTTTCGTACACGTATAATCGTCACCTGTCACACCAGCGCTATACACGATCTGGCATTTCCACGGTAACGCGATCTCTTTGATCGGTACTGATCGGTACGACAACGCTTTAGCTACTTGTTTCGCAGAGAAATTTTGTTTCACTAGTAGCTAAAGGGTTTAAAGGGTTTAAAAGGTTTAGCAACGTTTAACGTATATTAATTTTTTTTTTCTTTCTTTTTTTTTTTTTTTTTTTTTAGTAACTCCTCGGAGATATTTGCAACGGCTGGAAAACACGATATACGAGTATGGAAGCTGTCAACGCAAAAAGAATTGCTCCGAATCACCGTACCGAATTTTGTCTGTTCTAGTCTCTGTTTTGATCGTAATGCCGGCTCAATAATATCTGGTAAGCGAAATCATTTATTACCTTGAAAGAAGTTAAAAATCATCATCAATCGTCGTCGCCGACGCATAAAAAGTCTGTCATTTTTATCGGAGGAAGCGTGGAACGACGGTACTCTACGAGGATTTGCTACGAACAGCGGAGAACTTTTATTTTCGATCGACTGTGCGCACACGAAACCTGTGACAACGGTTACGATCAGCAACGACGACAGTAAACTGATCAGCGGTGGTTGCGACGGCCAGGTAAACCTTCTATCGATCTCTTCCAACCGTAAAAACTTTCAATTGGCTAGTCTTCGTTTTTTTTTTTTTTAGATACGGGTATGGAATGCAAAAACGTACGCGCGACAATTATTGACCGTGTTGAAGGAACACAGAGGACCGATAACATCGCTGCACGTTTCACCGGACAACGAAAGTTTTATCAGTTCCAGCAGCGATGGTACATGCGTGATGTGGGACGCAGGGTAGGTATTATATCTAACAGATGGATGGAAAGAAAGTAAATTACACACGTATATTCTATGGTATATTTGTTTCTGGTTACTCAGAACATTGAAGCGTAAGTTCACACTGAGAGGAAACACAATGTATATGGCAACGTGCTTCGCTTCCGGTGGCGTACAAATTTTAACCTGTGGTACGGATGGTAAAATAGCGTACTGGGAGAGCTTGGATGGTTCGTTGGTTCGTGAAGTGGAAGGTTCAGCAGTTGGCACGTTAAACGCTATAAATATAAGTCCCGATGGACGGTATTTCGTCACCGGTTCAGACGACTGTATCGTAAAGCTTTGGGAATATCGTACCGGAAATATCATTCGCACAGGCGTTGTTCACGCTGCTGCTATCACTGGTTGTGCTTTCGCTCCCACCGGCGATTTCATCGTTACGATAAGCGCGGACGGAGCTATAATAATTTGGAAGTATCCTTTCGAAACGTCTAGCTCGAACGATAACGACGATTGCAACAAGTCTTTGCGTTGCGTTCGCGATACAAAAAATGTATCGTCGTAGAGAGAAGTCGCTCATAACGAATATCAAATCGTACACCCGCGTCAAAATATTTACGCGTAGCATTTCTGCATCATAGGTGTTAATTTGCAAATTTTTATTAAAACCAGATTTATTCAAATAATCTTTTCATCGTGCTAAAATTGTTCAATCACTTTGCAAAACCATATTATTCTTCCACACACAACATTTATACTTAAGGTTGAATATTTCATATATATATATATATATATTAAAAGATGGGATGTGGGAAAATAAAGCAATAATTTTTTACACATAGTGAACGCGTTACTAAACTTCGATAATATCGATAGTTCATTCGTAATTAGGATGTATATCGAGAAACCCATTACGAACGATCTGCAAATTGTATCGAGAGACATAGAATAAGGAATACATAGATCTACCATCGCAAAACACGAAAACTTTGCCTTGGAAAAGAGCAATTTCCTCCTACGAACGCGCCATGTTGGGATCGATGTCGCAAGTAAAGGAAAAAATGAATTAATGAAAAAAGCATTTTCCGGAAAGGTTGGTCTCGGGAAGTACGGTATGCGGAAAGTTTGTCTTCGGAAAAGTCGATTTATCCCCTGTGGCTGGGGGTTTAGAATACAGCCACAGTAACCCCTGCTTGTCGTAGGAGGCGACTAAAAGGGGACGTTGTTACTGTTGAAGTAGCCTCGATTTCGATCCTGGGGCATAGACATAGTAACTATATTTACCTATTTTTTTATTTAAGAGCAAGATTTCATACGTATATACCGGCAATGTCACCTATTTGCGTATCGTTGCCTCCCTATATTTAAATAAACTATTATTTCCTATATCGTACTTTATACATATGTAAATACATTCCAAGTTATCTTTCCAACCAACTATTTGTTTCATAATATGTTTGAAAATCCGCTCAGCCGCGATGGCGCTCACGGTCGATCGATTGATCGATCGGGAGTCGTCCATCTAGGTGAACGCGTGACTAGTGGTCTTCTCGCCGGCTCGCGCGCAACGACCCCATTATCGAGCATCGATTCATCAAGTTCGGACTCATGCTCACTGGATTGATGAATATAGTCAGTTCAAGTGCAGTTCAGACGAAAAATATCGACCATCGAACGGTCGGTGAAACGCTCAAGATTCGCAGCAACAGTGCAAGCGACCGGATCAATTACAGGATTAAAATTCGTTGTCCACGCGAGCCGCCAATCACGCGTCGATCACGCACATGTTAACGGGCACCATCAAAAGCAGCGGGCTAGCACTCTTGTAAACGCTTCGTTCAACATCGACAGATCAAAGTGAACCCACTCAATTCTGTATTCAAATTGTATATACCTTTGTCGAAATAAGATGCTACATTTATTCAATATATTTTATATTCCATGACTAAGCCTACTGTCATGGCTACCCGTTTCGTTTCCGACCGTTGTATGTTATTACCTATAAATATGTTATTTTTGCAATTATAGTGCGGTTGGAAGTATTCCAAGTCTCCGATCGACTATTTATATGTAAGTTTGATTGCTTGGTGTAATATTTTTACTTGTTTTGTCTTATTTCCTTTGAGTGTCCTAACTCTCACCCTAACCCCTTCGCCTAACCCTAACCCTAGCATGGTAGGTGTGTATGTGCCCTAGTATGTTAGGGTTAGGACACGTACCCTAACTCTAACCCCTTCCCCTCAACCTAACCCCTTCGCCTAACCCAGTAACCCTAACCCCTTCGTCTAACCCTAACCCCAACCCTAATCCTAACCCTAACCCCCTTAACCCTAACCTGTAACCATAACCCTAACCCTAACCCCCCCCCCCTTAACCTTAACCTCTAACCTGTAACCCTAACCCCTTCCCCTCAACCTAACCCCTTCGCCTAACCCAGTAACCCTAACCCCTTCGTCTAACCCTAACCCCAACCCTAATCCTAACCCTAACCCCCTTAACCCTAACCTGTAACCATAACCCTAACCCTACCCCCCCCCCCCCCTTAACCTTAACCTCTAACCTGTAACCCTAACCCTAACCCTAACCCTAACCCTAACCCTAATCCCCTTAACCCTAACCCCCTTAACCCTAACCTCTAACCATAACCCTAACCCTCACCCCCCCCCCTTAACCTTAACCTGTAACCTGTAACCCTAACCCTAACCCTAACCCAACCCCCCCCCCCTTAACCCTAATCCCTAACCCTAACCCTAACCCTGACCCTAACCCTAACCCTAACCCTAACCCCCTTAACCCTAACCCCTAACCCTAACCCTAACCCCCCCCTTAACCTTAACCCCTAACCCTAACCCTAACCCTAAGCCTAACCCCCTTAACCCTGACCCTAACCCCTAACCCTAACCCTAACCGCTAACCCTAACCCTAACCCTAACCCTAACCCCCTTAACCGTAACCCCTAACCCTAACCCCAACCCTAACCGTAACCCCTAACCCTAACCCTAACCCTAACCCTAAGCCTAACCCCCTTAACCCTGACCCTAACCCCTAACCCTAACCCTAACCGCTAACCCTAACCCTAACCCTAACCCTAACCCCCTTAACCGTAACCCCTAACCCTAACCCCAACCCTAACCGTAACCCCTAACCCTAACCCTAACTCTAACCCTAACCCCCCTTAACCCTAACCCCTAACCGTAACTGTAACCCTAACCCTAACCCCCTTAACCGTAACCTCTAACCCTAACCCTAACCCTAACCCTAACCCTACCCCCCCCCCCCTTAACCTTAACCTCTAACCTGTAACCCTAACCCTAACCCTAACCCTAACCCTAACCCTAATCCCCTTAACCCTAACCCCCTTAACCCTAACCTCTAACCATAACCCTAACCCTCACCCCCCCCCCTTAACCTTAACCTGTAACCTGTAACCCTAACCCTAACCCTAACCCAACCCCCCCCCCCCTTAACCCTAATCCCTAACCCTAACCCTAACCCTGACCCTAACCCTAACCCTAACCCTAACCCCCTTAACCCTAACCCCTAACCCTAACCCTAACCCCCCCCTTAACCTTAACCCCTAACCCTAACCCTAACCCTAAGCCTAACCCCCTTAACCCTGACCCTAACCCCTAACCCTAACCCTAACCGCTAACCCTAACCCTAACCCTAACCCTAACCCCCTTAACCCTAACCCCTAACCCTAACCCCAACCCTAACCGTAACCCCTAACCCTAACCCTAACTCTAACCCTAACCCCCCTTAACCCTAACCC